CAGACAAATCGTATGAACAATAAGATGCAGCTTTTTATTTTGGTTTAGGTAGCACGATAGAAATATAAAATTATTTTCACACATTCAAATACATATTTAACAAAGCGTGAGAAAAAGAGATATTAAATTATTTTTATCTTTCTTTAAATTGTCAAAGTTGGGCCATTTTAGGGCTCTAGATGCTTATTTTTCGCGGTCAAGAATTTATTACACAGCAGAATATAATAGGTAAACTAACCTATAAATAAATCCATCGATTAAGCTCTAAAATTTAGCTAACCCGAGTTGTCATTTTCTTTTTGGCTAAAATTAAATAAATGTAATAAATAATTAAATAACGCACACACAGTTAACTATAAATAAAGCTTCATACATAAGCATAAATCCAAATTTCATCGAATAACCTGAAATTTTTGACAATCTTTAGCAAACTAAAGGTGGCCGTCATCGAAATGAAAACTGAAGCACTAGCATGCAGCTGTTACCTGTTTAATACACATATATGCTGAGATATCTATGTACATTTTACATAAAAGCCTTACAAGTCACCGCTAATATATTGAACATTTTACTTTCCTATACTAAATTGTTTAATGCGTTTAATGTGAGTGATGCAGACCTTAAATTTACGCCATAAAGTTTAGCAGCCCGCACTTACACATACAAGCAAGCTTATTTAGATTACATTACCTTCCTATTATAAATGTATATATGGATATGTTTTTTCCCATTTATGACATGAAAAATTGCTCTGGCAGGGTCTGTGTTCGTCTACCGTGGCGAAGCGAAGGCGCCATCAATAGCTGCCAGCCCAGCACCAAAGCCTTTCCAACTGACGTCATTTACCCTACAACTCACTGCATACTCCGGCACTTCTATTCGTATATAAATATATCTATTTGTATATAAGCTATATATTTATACATATATATATATATAAATAGAACATTCACAGCCACCTCAGAAACATAGCTCATTTTTACTAAGTAATAAGCTATGGAGCTGTGGACTTAATGCCAATTTTAACATCAACCCTGAGGTTGCCCGCATTTCCTCGGAACTGGGTTTGACATGACCACAATTCGTATTGAAAGTGCGAGTAAAAAAAATGTTTCAAGTATAGACTTACTGTTAATGAGTAGTGCTTTTGCATAGTTTTCCGTTGAAATTACCAGTAAAATGTTATATTAAATTTTAAAATGCTTACAATGAATAACAAAATGGAATAGTGTGGCAATAAAAAATATGAAACGATAAGTTGAATGCTAAGCAGAGTTCTGCAAAATCTTATTTCAGGCACGCTAATGAATTGCCTTGTTTTACCGTTAGGCTACAAATACGCCTTCCATAGTTGCATCTTGGTGAAATAAAGTTAGTTAAATTAAATTAGTTACACAAACGTGCAATATTTTCAAAACCAATACATACAAGTATGTACTGTGTAAGCGGTTCTGATATTTAATTTGTTGCAATCTTTTATATTAAACTCAGCAGCGCCATATATATATAATATAATCAGACAAAATGTAAGTATTTAAAGAAGGAATTTTTTGAGGATACTCAAAAACTAAAAAACATATTAACCCGAAAGTTTCTGATATTAATATCGAAGAATTGCAAACATATCACTTAAAGCGAACGAGACCACAAAGCTTAGTTTGATTATATATTATTATTCATAAAAGTAGTGAATCCCAGCTTTCCTAATTAAAAGAAGTCAAAATAAATGGCCTTGAATTCGGAAAAATATTTCGAGAGCAAAGAGTAAAAGGAGTATGAAGCAGAAGTTGTATTCAGCAAAGTACTTATTAATCATAAGTAATATTGGAAATTGAGAGCAAAAATCGATATTTCATTTTTATGAGCAACTAATACTTTGAATTTGACCACTTGAACTAAAAGGATTTACAAAATTTATTGTAATTGGAGCCAAAAAATATTAACTAATAAAATATCCTTTTTAGTAAGTATTATAGAAATCGGATCTTCGAAAAAAAGAAAAATTGTATATTTCAAAAATTTGTCCGAAATTGGAACCTTGTGTCTCTCTGTCCTATGAGCTTGCCAAACAACGTGAATGAGGCCCATATTTTGTTTTATTAAATACGTTCAATTTCAAAATCCGAAGTCCAATAATTCGACTTTGGGGTCTAATTTCGAAAAACGGAAAAATTAATGTTTTACATATGGTTCAATCTCTCGAAAAAATTGGTTTAGTTCAATACCGGGAATCGAACATTGTATTATTTTCTAAATTTAATGGTTTTATATTTTATTAAAGCATCTTTTAAGACAGGAAAATATAAAATAAATATTTAGTCCATGGCAAAAGTTCTGATTTGTCAGTTTGTATACCAGCCATAGCATATAGCTATACAATACTCATATACAATGTAACTCATTTTGAACAATTTCTTCGGAGATTACACCTTTAGACATGTCAAATTCGAAGAATTCTCGTTAAATGAAAAAGCATTCTATACAAGTACGTTATTTCGATCATTCAGTTTGTATGGCAGTTATATGCTATAGTGGTCCGATATCGGCGGTTCCGAGCAGCTTTTAGGTGAGAAAAGAAAAAGTTTCATACAGATATCTCTAAAAATGGGGTACTTGTTCGCATATATACAAACGGACGGACAGACGTATAGACAGACAAGTACAAAAGACAAGAGCAAAACAGCGCACAAGTGGCTACGGGGAAGTATTTTTGCCATTACTCTTTCGTATGTTACAATATATAGGTAGAAATATATCAATTATCAAAATATAATATCGAAAACAAAGAAAACCAAGCTTAAGAATACGTAGCTTTGGCAAATGTGCGAAGTCGGTTGTACATATAAATATTTAGTATTTGATATCGTATTTCGATTCGTAACGAGTGCTTTAAGTAAGTTAAGAATAACAGACTGCTTGGCTTGGTTACATATGTATTCTCCACTGTAGATCTGCTACAGATAAAGGCTAATCAGAAAGAAATTGTATAGAGGTAATCAGCATAGTATTTCAGAAAATAGATTTCACTCAGCATTTTATTTACAATACAGCAAAAGCTCCAAATATACTAAAAACTTATAGAGTATTATTTCTGCATTACATATTAACGAAGTTTAGTTTATGTTAATTGAAATAAAGGTATTTTCATACTGAAATACTAGTTGTAAATAAACCAACTTATGCACATACTTACAGAGTTATTAAATCACGAAACCGTGAACCAATAGTTTTGCTTGCAATTTGGTTTTTTCCTATTAACTCCCATATCACTCTGCGATTCACTGCAATCCCATGTAATTTCGCTTCGCCACTAGGTACTCTTAAAAATCGCTGCTTAAGTTAACCATTAAACTTTCTGCAACGACAGTTAAGCCATAAAAAAACAGTAACTAATTGGCCATAAATGGTTTTACGTGCATTTCACTTATGCGGTAATGAGCAAGTTGCTTATATACCACCACCAACTTTGATTGACTGTTCAGAGTATTCAGACGTGTACAAGGAAATTACATTTATATTTCATAAAAATTACCTCGTATAAATTTTGCCACATATTTCTTCTCAATATCTTATTAATAGTTTATAACAGTTTATTTAATGTTGCTATGTTAATTTTCTTTATCTAAACTATTCCAACGCATACAAAAGATTTTACCATGTATCCGAAATATTTTGTCAACCCAATCAACACCAAGTTCGAGGTTTATTCAGCTATGAATGGTATCGTTAGCTATAACCATGTTCAGGTTACTTGCTTAAGAATTTCATCCAAAAAAATTTTTTTGTGAATGTATAAAAAATTACGTTTTTTACCGACTTGCAAGGGGTAAACCCTTTAGATAACTTACGATAAAAATAAGCTGGCAGTTTCCAGTAACTGCGTCATTATTGGCTAATTTGATTTTCATTCTTACCATAGTTTCAATAATCAGATAATCGAATGAAATAAGGAAATATGAATTATATTTTTAAGGTAAATGCTTCCATCCACACAAAAAGATTTGATTTTTATATTTTTAATTGCGTGGTCAATTCAAAAGTACCATATTTGTTGTTGTGAGTGAGTGGCTCATAAGTGAGCACATCCTAAACGATATAAGCACATACCCACACATTTTCTTGCAAAGAAATTCATTAAATAAAGCAGTTAGAGGAATTGGCGTTAATTGAAACAGCATTTGTAGTGTTTCGGTGCATATTATCAACAAAAGTTCATTCACTGCAACTGTGAATACATACTTGAGCATGCATGCAGGGCTTCTCTCAAAAATTATAAATTTCCTGAAGACGATTTGTAGTTATATAAAAGCCTTTACAATTATTTATGAAGCTTCAGAAATATCACTTTCTTACATTATTCGAAGCAATTACTATGAGTGATCAAATGCGGCAGCCAACGCGCTGATATTTCATAAAGGATATGACACACGCAGTCTTTTGAGATGCCGACGCTCCGTTATTTTGCTCACATTCCATCTGCTAATACGAGGTCGTGAACTTTTCAAACATTATCCTCCGGAGTAGCCATTTTCAGAGCACCTAGACGTAGCGGGCGACTACCTTCGAACCCGTTAAAACGATTTATATTGATTGCCATCGAAGGCAATCATGGTATCAGCAAACAAGCGCTGTTTGATTTAACAGCTTCCTAAAATCAAGAATCTAATTACCAACTGATATTAACTATATCTCCTAAGCCGCCCTCTTACTCACACATTCAAAACAAAACTTAGAATCCTATTTGGCTAAAATGGGGTATAGCTCGCATTACTGGGTAGCCGTTTACGCCGTTATATACCGAGTGAACGTGAGCTACATATACCCCTTTTGCTCATTAGAAGACAGTACTAGCATAAGGCAGTGCCATGTTTAATGCCACCAGTTTAATGTAATTTTATAACTAACTAATTAAGAATGAGTAATTCTCTACAACTTCTTCTGCCCTGATACTTTATTATACTAAATTTATTTAATATCTCTTCATCTTCCTTCATTTCCAGTAGCACAAAATGCCGCCAAACACGAATACGAACACCGAAGAGCAGCTGCCAGAAGATTCGACGCAAAGTCTGGAACCGGCCGATCAAAAAGTAGAAGAGACCACGCAGCGTGAGGTGTTCCGTGAGCTAGCGCAAAAACAAGCGGAACAACAGCAATCGGAAAGTCAAAAAATGTTCACCACTTTGACACCCAAAACCACAACAGAGGCCGAAGGTAAGACCAATTTTCAGATATGCTGTACTTACATACATGTGTACTACTATATTTTTTCGCCTAAACCATTTTGTAGAGGAACCCACCACAACAACTGCGTCTACCATCCAGAAAATCGGACATGCCGGCGAAGTCGTCACCGAAGTGATTGCCGAGAAAACTGGTCTGCCCACATGGGGCGTGGTGGCAATTATCATACTGGTATTCCTCGTCGTCTTTGGTATACTCTTCTTTTGTGTACGTCGTTTCTTAAAGAAGCGACGAACCAAAGATGGTAAGGGTAAGAAGGGTGTCGATATGAAATCGGTACAATTATTAGGATCGGCGTATAAAGAGAAAGTAAGTATCAACAACGCTATCATTTCTTAGTAGTTATTGGGTTCTGGTATGTCATAGGTTCAGCCTGATATGGAGGAACTCACCGAAAATGCTGAAGAAGGCGATGAGGAGGATAAACAAAGCGAGCAAAAATTAGGAAGACTGAATTTTAAGGTAAGCTTACTGTGAGCACTCTAGCATCTTGGCGTTGTACAAAAGTCCACACTCTAGTGACAACGCCAAACGTGTTGTCAAGGCACACAAGGAACAAAGTAAACAGCAAACGTTAGCGAAAAGTATTTAAAAAAGTTGCAACGGTTCTTTCAAACATCTTTTTATAATATTCAACTTTTTATATCAAATAATTTGTTAATACATCTTGTCTTAAATGTAAAGTTTAATTACATAATTTTAAATTAAAATGCCACCAATTTGTTGTTGCACATAAAATTTGCATTCATTTTTCCAGTGGTAAAATACCTTATGGACTCATGTATATTAAGCTCCTTTACTCTTGATTCCATTAAAATAAACCAATAATAATTTTTAAATATGGTGAAATTTTCCGGTGTTGTTGGAGTTGATCGATTCTAACAGGGACTCACTTGGACACTTTAGAACGCCGGTCCGTTGTGTTCTATTAAACTCTTATATAATAGATCATAAGACCCTTACAAATTGACAAAGCGCTTTGCGTCTATCTCAAGTTTGTTGAGACGGCTCAAAAGGATCCTACAGTCGCACAGGAGCGAATTATCGAACAGCGCCTGCTAAACTCGGTCCCTTTCCAACATGAGCTGGGCAAGGGTGCCTCTCTGACTAACGCGTCGGCTTTGCAGTTGCCAGAGATTCCCCTGTCACCAAGCATCAAAACGAATCTGATGATGAAGTAGCTTGATGCTATTTCTAGTGAGGACAGATCCTTCTTGAATAGCTTTTAACGCCGGAATTGAAGTAAATGCTCATCTCCCTGAAAGAGGCTGCACTTCGTAGCAGTACGTCTACCGCCACCTTAATAGCAGCTACTTCTGCCTGAAAAACACTAAAGTGGTGCGGTAGCATAAAATTACGATCGACGTAGAGCTCATTACAGAAAACTGCCCCTCCAAACCTTCCCTCCTAGCTTCGACCCATCCGTGAAAAAGCTCGTCGGTATGTGAACAGAGAAATAGCCACCACGAATAACCTCTAGAACAGAGTTATCTAAGTTCAGGAATGCAGTTGAAGGTGGATGGAATTTCGGTGTGTCCTTGTTTTGACTCCTTCAAATGCCCAACTTCCCGAGCTTTAGAGCGCACTTCACAGCAATACACCAGGCGGCAATGTCCACGGGCGCTATTGTCCGTGTAGTCCGCAGAGCAAAGGATATGCCGATAATAACCGTTCTTTGGCCCGTTCAAACTTCTTAGCAAGTGTAACCTTTTCGTGCGCCCTCCACCGTATATCCTCAATATTTGGCCTCCATGAAAGCTTTCTAGCTGGGATCAGTACTAGGAATATATTTCACCTTATAAACAGATGGAAAACTGAGCTTCCGTATGTTTATACACGTATTTTCAAAAATCCACTTGTAATATTATGGTCACAGTAAAAGAGTTTGTTTACAAAACAATATGAAGTATGTCCGAACTTCCTAGGGATTATGTGTATTCATATTTGCCACTGTGAAACTTTCATTAAATTTTCGGAATTACTTTTAGATTTCTAAATTCCATCACTGCCCTACGGTGCTGCTGTCGAGATAACATTCAATAAGGATATCTTAATGTTCAAGTAAAAAATGGAAAATGAAATGAAACAAAATTTCCAGTTCCCAAATTTACTAACTCTGAATTTAATTCGAAAGAACTCCTCGGCGAGTTTCTAGGGTAAGAGGGAATAACATTTCCCGCCTACTCATCGTGCATAGATAATATTATATGTTACTAAAATCTTCTTTTCTACATGTTGAGAGCGCCCATAGCCGACGCTGGGAACAAAGCTTAAGGAAAGGGCTACTGGAAAGGTGATAAAATGGGAACTAAAAACAAGAATTTGGCAAAAATAACTGGTCAAATCAATTCGATTTTCAAGAGATTGGATTTTATAATGAATTTAAGCTATTACAAAGGCGGCCCTATAAGTACTTAGCCTACAAGAGAAAAACGAAAATATTTATTATAATAACTACGGATTACCGTTTTTTTCTTTATCAAATGTGGCAATTTTTCTGGTACTGAACGTCGAATCGACCCAAAATAGGACAAAATAGAGCCCTGTGGTCCTTTTGTCCTTCTCCAGTTAGTTGATGTAGATCATCCCTTGTGAATCCCCAGCGGTCTTAACCTTTCCGGTCGATAGAACAGTATTTGTCTTCTTTAGAGCAGGTTCGCCGGCTGAAGTCATTGTTTCGAGTCTTAATTCTTTGGTATCTGGTGTGTATCAATGGGTTCATGTTTCGACGGTCACAAATCGACCCTAAAACTTCTTTTTCTCGCAATTCGAGATTACCATTTTATGTCTTTAATTTTTATAAGTAATTAACGGACCTTCGGCCTATTAAACCAATATTATACACATCTTTTTCGTAGTCTCTACATTTCTAACTACTTTGCGTCATCGACACTCCAACAACAATTAAATTTTTAAATTTTGTGATTCAAAAAATATGTTGTCAGTAAATTTTATTTCCCACACACTAGTATAGACCACATAGCTCCGTATTATATACTACCATATCAAGTCACAAGTGCACAAACTAATTCACTTAGTAATAAACTATAATGTTACACACATTATGCCTAACCTCATTTAATTATCAAATAGAAGAAATATTTACAAATTAACTAATAAGTATAATTTTTTCTAACCTCGCCGCTCCGCAAATGGCTGGATTGCGTGAATCTGCTTCACTACTCTTCACTTGCTTTTTTTCTCTTATTTTCTCTGTTTTTTTACTCTTTTTTATCCATTTTTCTTTGTGCGTCACTTTGCTCTTCCTTTTAATAGCTCGAATATGACTTCAACTCGAACAGCTTAGCGGTCACCGTTATACAAGCCGAAGAATTGCCCGCGCTTGATATGGGCGGCACATCGGATCCTTATGTTAAAGTATATTTGCTACCCGACAAGAAGAAGAAATTCGAAACCAAAGTGCACCGCAAAACGTTGAACCCGGTCTTCAATGAAACCTTCACATTTAAGGTAATATACCTGTTTATGCTTATTTTCCTTATACCACAATTTGCTAATGAGAAAATGTGTATCTTCTTCATAAACTGCTAGAGCTTGCCGTATGCCGATGCCATGAATAAGACGCTCGTATTTGCCATATTCGATTTCGATCGTTTCTCCAAACATGACCAAATCGGTGAGGTGAAGGTGCCACTCTGCACTATTGACTTGGCGCAAACTATCGAGGAATGGCGAGATTTGGTCAGCGTTGAAGGTGAAGGTGGACAGGTATGTGATACTGGCTGTGCTCGCGTGCAGCGTTGCCAGCTGTTAAGTGTTAATTTTTTCGTTTTCACTTTATTTTCAATTAACAAAAACGTTGTACTTCTACTAATTTATGATTTTTTTCTTCTTAATGTAAACGTAATGAGTAAAGTACAAAACAAAAAACAACAACAAAAAAATTAAATAGATTTCTAAGTCCCTACGTATAAACATAAATTTCATAGAACTGCAAAAATAATTTAACGGGTTTGAGTTTTTAACTCAAGTGCTAGCTTTTTAAAGCAACTAAAAGCTCAAAGTGCAGTTATACAATTTTTGAACATAATTTATTATTACTAGAGGTACTACATTGCTATAAACAGTTAACTCGCGTGTTATGAGTATATTTTGTGTGTGTGAATAGTTGGAATTTTTTCCAAGCAACAGTGTGTGTCAGTTAATTGTGTTACATAACGACACACAAAGCTGCAGACAAATGCACAAACCTCAGTACATAAAGAAATTTACAGGAACCACTGGCAACATTAATATGAAACAACGCAAAAACCAACCCGTTTAGCTCAACACACCCAGTTCAAAATGTATTAAATAAACGAAAAATAAATTTTAAGTTTCCACTTTAACAACAACCCATTATCAAAAAAATTAATAAGAGTAAAATAAAAAGCTTAACAGCCAACCTTTATTATCCTAGCAAAAAGAAATTTTACTATTATAAATTATATATTTTAGAGGTTATTTGGTTCTCAAATAATTTTATGAGTTTTCTAGTTATTTCAACAGCACAACAAGCAATTTTATTATAATATTTTTCTATGAAAGTTTAACCTCATTTTTACTTATCAAGTTCCATTCAAGGTCTTGAACAAATTTTTATAGCAACAAACTTAAAATTAAAATAAGACAACATTTGCAATGAACAAAGCATTTAAATCAAACTCTAAACAAGTTTTTCTTTTCCACTCCCCCTCTATTTACTACAACCACTACTACTACCTCTACTACTACTACTATGTACTACTACTACTCGTACTCACTACTCAAACTCAAAAAAATATAAAAATAAAATAAAATTGATTTGATTCCGACCTTTCGTAGAAGGTAAATAAATACATACAAAACAACAACAAAAAATCATTTGAATATTACTCTTTGTACTACTACTAATATCTTTTAATTACCACCTCACTTTTATGCAAAATAAATTTTTTTCGAATTCTAAAAACAAATATTTTCTGCATTTTTCTCACATTGTTAATATTGTAGTTAAATTTTTGTGTTTTAATTTTGTCGCAAAAATTGTTTGAGTATTCAACTTATTACATATAAAAATGTACAGTTTCACCATAGAATTAAAACGAGAAACCAGAGCAAAACAATAGAATAAAATCTAGTATAAGATTTGTAGGCATTTTTTAATTATTTATAAATTAAAAACACAATCATTTATGCTACAATATTATTTTGTTGAGAAACTCAGATGAATTGCAGAGCAAACCCCTCCGGCTTTTATTATACGAGAATGAAATATTATATTAACAAATATTTGAAAATGACAACGTTGTTGGAAAATCACCAATGAATATAAAGCAAATAAAGCCAATATTTTATGAAATTTGTATTATTCTGTAAAAAGAGTTTAAGCGTCACATTTTAAGCGAAATATGTTCTAGATGCAATTTTTGAATTTTGCTTCAAGAAGTTACTCGTAAAGTATGTTATGTTCACACTCCTACGCCAAATACCTAAATATCTCAGTAGTGTTCATATTTGTAATTCTTAATTTGATAGTATTGAATTGAAAGCATCTAGATTAGTAATTTTGTTTACCTTTTAGCCCATATGCATAGGTATATTTCAGGGTTTTATACTCTAAAGGTATATTGAGTTTGTCATGAAGCTTATAACATCCAGAAGGAAACGGAGACCCTTTAAAGTATATACCTTTTTTTATTTCAAATTCAGCATAGCTTGAGGAGAGCAAATTGTGATCGATCAAAATCAAGTTCTTGTAGTGCTTTTTATTTGACAAGATATCTTCACGAAATTTAACATAGATTATTGTCCAAGACCACGCTACAATTTCCGAACAAATTGCTTAGATCGGACATCGGTATTATAGCATATAGAATTCAAAATTTCCGACTGAAATCATAAAAACGAAAAACAACTAGCTCTAATTTGAGATAATGTAAACATGGTGTAAGTTTTAACAAAACTAAAATATTCAAAAATCTTTCAAATAATATGCGTTTTTAGCTTTTTTTGTGATCAAACTTTATCAGAGAAAACAAAACTTTAAAAATTTTCAAAGAGCAGTTTTTATTTAGAATAGACAGTGTTGTTGCAGATATTTTGTATGTGGGTTTCTATAGGTGTTAATTGCCATTCATATCGAACCAATTTTCGAATGATATTCACCTTTTGATAGTGGAGACTAATTTATATACTTATGATTTCGTAACGGCCTATATATTTAACACAACACAGCTACGGAAATTGTATGATCAGCAGATTTTGGGACAGCCCTGATCCAAACTTAATAGCCGTATGAATGTTAGAAAGTATCCAACGAGGCTGAGGCTGTTGATAGCCGAGGTAATCTTGTTTTTGGGAAACCAAATGAAGGAAATTTCATTTGTTGATTGAAATTATCAGTAACTCAGTAATATTTAAAACGATATTTTTTTTAATTTTTCCCATAAAATGCGTCATATTGGCCTGAATTACTTGAAGAGACTTTGTATGTAATAATAAAAACAGGTTTAGTAAGAGAAATCTTACTTTTACTCCAACAACGTTATCATTTAATGTTTTAAGATCCTTTAATACCAGCATGGATGCATCTGTAAACATTTTACGAAAGCACATTGTATACATTAATATTAAGGCTTTGTGGTACTGTCCGTTTTTGAGTACAAGTTTTAAATGTTATTTGATGGAGCTAAAGATTAGAGATAAGTAAATGTTAACAGTATAAGCGGTTCCCTTGGCTGATGTACCATGCAAAATTGCCACAACAAACAATTTTACATTTAATGTTTTGAAATTAAAAAACCGGGCACATTGAAATTTACCTCAAAGTGTTTCTAATACAATTTATACACTATTTGAAGAGGTCATCCTTTGCACTGAACTCATTTCCTGTAGCATAGCAGCACAACATAAAAAAACAAAATTTGACGCACTCGAGACACTAATTTTATTGAAGGTTGTATCATTACAATCGTACGTATGAATCGGGAAACTACAGCTTTCTAACATAAAACACTTTTCCACAACAAAATTTACCATACAATAAATTCCAGTACATACGCACACTCACCACACAAAATAACTCATGCACACATTTAATACACATGGCACACCGCGAAATTACTCAAGCATTACTAAATACATAGCAAATTACACTCAATATCGAAATTATTATTATTTACATTGAAAAATGCCACAGATTAACTTTGAAAATATTGAAATTAAATTATCTCAAAAGCCTGGCATGCGAATGAGTCTGAAACACGAAGCAAGTGTGCGAGCTCGTTTTTATGCGTTACAATTTCCAAATATAAATACAATTTAAATTTTTTTTTATCTTTTCAATGTAAATTACTTAGTTAGATCAACAAAAATATACGAAAACATTTATAAAATTATTATCTTTTCACAAAGTACAATATATTAGCAAAATTTTGCTGCCATTACCTGCATGCTTTGCTTACATAAATTATTTCCAATTTATCTAGACTAATCATTATGATGCGTAAAATATTTGAACTTTTCTGTTGCTCTACATTATTTGTATGAAGAAAACAAGTTAATACATTTTGTTCTGAAACCGCATTGCTTTTTTCAACCCATACGCAAAGAAATTATTTAAAATTATATAACTTATATAAATTTTATAAAATTTTTGCTATTCAAAAATAAAAATATAAACATTAAATTAATATTGAAAATATTTAATCTTCTCTGAATTTTTTCTTCTTAATTACTTTTATCTTTTATAACACGTTACATTACTTCCGTTCGTATCGCTAAAATGCAAATCGACCAATCAAACCCACCCGTAATGTTGTACTGTTACAATTCAATCTATTGCCAAAATGATTCGATCTGTCAAACAAAAAAAACAAAAAAAAAAAAACAAAAAAAAAAAAAAAAAACGAAAAACCAAAAAACCAAAAACCAAAAACAAATATGAAAACGAATTGTAAAAACAACTCATTTCAATTCGAACTATCATATCATTTTTCAAATCAAAACAATGCGAATTTTGAATTATGCAAAAATGCTATTGGTCGAAAACCAAAATCAAAAACTTCAAACCACACTCCATCGCAAAACCGTCTACCAACCACAACCACAACCACCTCGATCTGTTAAAATCTCTTACGTATATTCGCTCAACTTCAACGTTATAAAACTTGGTTAACGCAATGGCCACTCACACGTAAGTACTCATCAAACGGATTTTCTCCAAAGTACTCATTGTTTTGTTTCGTTGTTGTCTCATTAACAAAGTATTTATAATCGTATTTTAGTTGTTTTCCAATTGGTATTGCTATTAGTGATAATCAATGTGCATATAAACAATTATTTACTTTTTTACATATATATTCGTATTTCTATGTATTGGTGTACATCCCGAATGTTAAGCATATTCCTTTGATATTTTTGTAACGAAATAAATGGACTACCTCATGCGAGTAGAAATTCTATTTGCACTTTTCAATTTACCAAAAATTATTATTTTATTAATATTTACTATATTTTTAATAATTTTTCATGTGGAATTCGTAAGTTTTTCGTCGCCGTGCATTTGTTTATTTGATGTTTTACCTTATTTTCTTGCGATTTTTACATCAAAAGATAATTTGTATACCAATTTAAAGGTTAGTAAACAGCTGTCGTTAATTATTCTCAGAGTTCTTAACATATCTGTACTTGATATCTCAGCATTTACTTAAAATATAAAACATTAAGCCAGTTTTTTCTAACAATTCAAAGACATCCCTGCTCGCTATGAATTCTACCCCTTATCAAAACATTTACATAGGAAGCAACAGCAAAGTAATTGAGTTAAATGTTATACCCGAGAGTATATGGAATCTAATCTCGTGTAACTACTTGCTATTCTAGCTGTATCTCATTATATTGTACTTATGCCAGTTGTAAAAACTTAATTCGCCAAAAATTAATAGTAGAAATGGGGATATTTGAAAGTAACTTAGTAATTTCTTTGTAAGAAGTTGAATATTTTTTAAATTTTCACCTTTTGGTCCTACCAATCTGGAAAATCAACTATAATTGTAAATCATGATTGCGTTAAAAAAAACTTTCTGAAACAACTTTTTGATCCAAAGCACCTGATCTGATGGTCTGATGATAGATAGCAGCATATTGATAATACTATCGACAGTATCCGATCCATAAAATATGAAGAACTGAAGAAGCTCGATTATTCTCAGTCAAAACCGGAAGCAAATACTTTATACTATGAAAAGTACTGTATGCCAAAAAGTATCCAAATCGAAAAACTCTGTTTTTTTTTAATATTCAATACTTTGCAAAACCAGTTTCCAGACTTCATTTATAACCGACCTCCTTTCAAAACTTTAGCAATAACCTGAACGTATAGTTGGCACTTCCCTAAAGGATTTGATACAATTTATGAATTGGTGAAGTTTTGTAAAATTTTCTCTCTTTCATTGACGTGGTATCTGAACTCTTCTGTTGGCTCTATTGATTATCATATATTGTATAAACATTAAGATATTTATTTATATGTTTTAAATTTATATCTTAAGTTTCAATATAAAGAGCTTCGACACAAACAGCAAACAACAAAGATATACCCAACAGACATCCAAAATTTCGTAAAAACCACATTTTTAATATTATTTTCAAATTATTTTTTTATTCACCTATAATTATTTTAGATTCAATAAAATATTATTTTACCATCTCAACAACTGTATTTTTCAAATAATTACTGTAAACACACATATTCAAGTCATAAAAAATAAGAGACAGTAAAAAGACAGCAACAAAAAGACGTTAAAACTGAACCATTTAGGTAAGTGGTAAACCTATAGCATCCTACTTATTTTCTATGTAAAAGCTGAACTTACTTTTTCGCTAGTAAATTTTGAAGAGATGTGCAAACAAAAATTGCAAAATTGTACGATATTGGTGCAGAACTTGTAAAATAAATACAGAAATTGGCATAAAAGTAGCTATTTTATTAACTCTTTATATGCATATATTTATTAAAGAATGAACCAAAGTCTTACTTTACATTTTTTCTCTATGTATGTCACCTCTATATACTACATATATATATTATATGTAAAGTAGTTTTTGAATGCCAATAATAATTACCATACTAATTAATAGTGTTTCTTTTGGTGACTAAATATAATTAAGTATTTTGAACTTAAAGCAAATTTGTAATTTTCACTTTTCATATTTTGTATGCATTTTTCAATTCTATTTATCATTATAAGGCTTTAAACGCACACATACACATAAACATATTCAAATGTGAACTAAAAATTTGATGCCGACTAATATCTACAATTTACACTGTGACTCGTTATATGAGTGATGGTTTTATGGAAGCCCAGTTTTTTGTAAATAAACAATACGGTTACTCCATTATTCAGGTTATTTTAGTTATACAATATGCTTTTCAATTACATATTATACAGTGACATGATAACATCTGTGTAAAGCGTTTTCAACTGGGTGTAAATGACAAAGTTAGTTATAAAATTTTAGTTTCGAAACAAATGCAATATGAAAAGCAAAACAAAATTTACATGTGTAAAAAAACTTTTTATTTCATTTTTATTTTCTTATTATTTTTATTATCTTTCATATTATTGATAGAGTTTTAAGCATAAGCAACTTATTAAAATTTTATTGTTCAACTGTCTATGCATCTAGCTTAATTATGACAAATTAAGCATAAAATTAAATGAGTGTAAATAAGTAATTAATTGCAGGAGTGTCCGAATCTCTGTTCGACGTCTGATTGTAAAGGCGAAGGTCGTGATAACTAATATCAGTAAACAAAATACAGAGATCAAGATGATGGATTTTAATAAATTTTAAGAATCGATTACTTTACCAGATTCTCCTAAGGGTGTTGTCTTCAAGAAAATTCTTAAATAGAACTCGATTAGTTTGTTCAATAAAATTCAATTTTAAACTATAAGGTAATAATAAAGCCTAGCCTGTCGCACAATACGTTTTCATAAATATTATATAATATGCTGGCAAATACCGTTGACAAGTTTTGTTACAAATTTCGTTGGAACTACTCTCTTCGTGGTTTTATCGGCATTAAATGCGTACAATTTCAAAATCTTAGTGTTTCCACTTAAGCAATCCTTAAATTTAATTTTTAAATTTGCTTTAAATGATTTTATTAAACTTCTTATGAGGAAACAAGTAGGGAAGAGCTAAGTTCGGGTGTAACCCGTTCATAATATATATCTGATTGAACACAGTATAAATATATATATATAAATTTTTATCAATTATTTCACTTCAAACTAATACTCATAGGCGTTTTCAGCTGGTAAATTCACTCTATTACCTCAGCAATTAGATCTATTTGAACAATGTGTAGCTAGAGTAAACGGTCTACTTTATGACCTATGAGAACACATAACTAATTGACTTAATTAAGGGAATGTCTAAAATGGCTGTTATCATTCATTTGTATTATACATATCTTATTAAATTTTATTTTAGCATTCAAAATCTAGGTTATATGCACATTATCTAAACTCGGTTGTAAAAGAGTAACAAAAAGTGATCAACAACCATCTACAGTTGTCATGAATAACATACCGAGGGTTACTCATTACACTTTAATCAGAACAAATCTTAGCACACCACAAAAGGATAAACGCAGAAAACTATTGAAAAACATTGAAAATTTTTAAACTTAAGTTTATTCACTTACTTCTTCCTAATACCAAATCGAAGCTCTAGTAACTATTAAGAAATTTCAAAATTTTTATGTTACCTCTATATAAGTTCTGTTCTTTCTTTTCAAGATTAATTCATTTATTTAAAATTGAGTTGTAAATTTGCGCTAAATTACTGTTTTTATGCAATTATATACCAAATTATACATATATATATATATATATAAGTATGTGTTGAAATCGATGTTTGTGAGAAATCGTTGTTGTGTTGTATTCTAATACTTGTTTTGAATTCTTGAAACTGGTCAATTATTTATATTTATGGTAAATATAATTTGGTGATATTCAACTTAATTTGCTTTAAAATTAATGTATTTTGATCGAATTCAACGAAACGCCTACTCGAATCTCCTTATTTGAAGTCAGATAAATAATCCTTAAGGAATTTACAGCTGGGTTGTAGTTTAACTTAGGTTAAGTAATTGTGTGAAAAGTGTTGAGGATAAAATACTCGAGTTAGAGGTTAAGAATAAGAATACGCATACCCACACCTTAAGCTGAATTATCTCAGCACAAATTTAACGCTTATAATTCCTCACAGACAATTCAACAAGTCGTCATAACTGAGTATAATTTCGACAGTCTCTAGTTTCTCTCTCTAACAAAATATAGAAAGCAAAAAGAAAGTACTTTGTATATATATGTTTTTACTTACACAATTAACTCTTGATCATTTCCTTCGTTACTCTTTTTCAATTTAAATTTTAAAAGCACAACTTTCAATCAACTATTTAGTAATTTGAAATGGATTAAAGTAATTTCTTTATATACCAGTTTCATCGTATAGGATATTTAAAATTCATTTACAAAACAGCGAACCCTCTTCCACCATATTTTAAATAGTCGAACGCTCGATCATTTGAAAAAGCATGGGTTCTCAATAACTTTGTTTAGTGCCGACACTTCAACAATCAATCATGCACAATCCTTCAGTTTTTCAGTGATTTATCTGTTTCACTTTAGACTTTTACCATAGGTATGTACACATGTGGTGAATTCTCTCTGATATAATTTATTCTCAAAAAAGCTGTGATTAATGGTTTCACCAGAAATGACTCAGGGACATCGAGCTGCCAGAAATTAGTCTTGTGACCTCCATCTCAAATGATGATAATAATTTTCGCGAATTGAAAGATGACCAAAGCCAGAGAAGTGCTTATAAATTTTTAGCTTTTGATTTCATTACTAGTGATAATGGAAGCTTTAAGGCTTTTAATTTCTTCTATATGATTTACCTCTCCTTCTTCTCCTTTTCTGAAATTTTCACTTTAACTTCAACTAACAGTTTGCTATCAATTTTGAAAAAAATATCAATTATCGAAATTTAAGAGTTTTTTCATAAGAACAGGCAAACTCATAAGCATTTTGAACAAAAAATCGATATTGCGAAAGGAAACTTATGAATTATTGTGCTCTCTGAAGTACATAATTTCTAAAATCTAACCAAAAAATTCTCCAGTACGAACCCTCAATATATGTGCAGATGTATTTACTTGTGTAATTTAGAGTTTTCGATGTGTAATCAATTACTTTAATAATAATTATATAATAAACTTATATATGTTTTTGTAATAATAAGGTATAAATATGTATACCCATACCCAATACGCGCCATATTGATTTATATGATGTTTGTACGATGTATGTATGTATGTATGTACCCAACTGAATACTCAAATATATAATGTATGTAGCTCAAGTGATATGTTGTGTGCTTAAATATTATTAATGTTTCAATTGTGTGAAATATATATTGTATTATATGTACATATGTGCATAAATAAAATTTTAAGCAAATGAAAAATACTATTTTTGTATCTTTTCTCTTTCCTTCTCTTATCTTTACACATTTTCGCATTCGATTATATGACATGTAAAAATATATATGTATATAGGAAAAGCTTGGCGACATCTGCTTCTCACTGCGTTATGTTCCAACTGCTGGCAAGCTAACTGTGGTCATCTTGGAGGCAAAGAACTTGAAAAAAATGGACGTCGGCGGATTGTCTGGTAATAAATTGTGGCGCCAATGCGATGCAAGGAGTTCGACAGTTTTTCAAATTTTTCTTTTTCGTTGAATGCAATCGGGTTTTATAATTGCTTACGATAAGCATCGAGAAAAATCGAAAAAGTTATAAAACTTGCAAGTTTGTATTTCACTACGTGAAACTGTCGTCCTTGCATCGGACTTTTGCAAAATCGTTACACACTAAATGTTGTGTCCAATAAGTGTTGATGTAGTTATGTTGTATTTAGTACATGTAGGTATATTTACTAGCTTTTTCTCGGAGGTTAATGCATGCCAAAATTACTCAATTATTTTTTAATAGAAACAACTTAAATAATTAATTTAAACTCTTAAAATTGCTTGAGATTTTGTTGCTATCTCTTTTACTAATCCAATTTAGCAAGTGGGCATTTTTATGTACGCTATGTTTATATATATTTTTCAATTGCTTGCAAAAATTAGCTTTCGAAAGTCAATCCATGCAATGTTTTATTAACTTTTTTTCATATAAAATTTTTTAGTTGCCTAAAATCGTCCATTCTCATTTGCTCTTTGTCGTAGATTTCTAAATTATGTTTTATATCTAACTTTCGATTTCGATTTTACGCTTCTCTTACTAAAAGATTACCAATTTCACCACTCCTTCATTAAAAGTCATCGATATTTTCAAATGGCAACACGGTGCGGCGCCTTTCATAATTTCCTACTTGTTTTACTTTACTCTTACGATTAAAAATAAAATAATATTTTTGCATAAATTTTTATATAACATATGCTAGTTTATACTTGTGTATTTAAATATAAAAAAATAATTTATTTGTAAATGCTACAAAGCTGCTATAAAATCTACCAAGGATTCTCAAACGAACTCTAGTGTAAAAAATTAAAACCAAATATATAAATGTATGTATATTTTAAGCTATAAAGAGCTCGCACGTTTTGATCTGTACATATTTGCTACCTTATCCGCTCACTTTCGTTTTCAACTCGTACTGTTTCGTCCTAATGCGCCCTCCCACGTCCAACGGTGTTGCCTCTGAAAATATCAAATCCAGTTCTTCTAGGCTTTTACAAACATATGAATTGATGAGCGTTTAAATTACCGTTAAATAATCTTAAATCAGTTGATTATATAATTGTTAAAAAAAATGTTATTAAATGTTTATTAGTTAGGTGTTATCTTATTTTCATAAGTAATCGAACTATATATTTTATTTAGTCTTCCACAAATGCATATATTTAGCCAAACTCTTGGATATGCCGGTGCCACTGAGTCTTCAGGGACGTGGAAACAGTTTAGTTTTAGGCGATTATTTATACAATAAAAGAAACATGGATGTACGGTTATGTTCATCTACCCCAATCAACAGACAGTGAATTAATTAAAAATCCCTCTATAACACTTATAAATCACTCAATTGATCTGAAATTTTACACACGTCCTTTTCTCCTTAAGAAGGTGTTCATTTGTTGGAACCGCTGATATTGGATCACTAAAACATATAGCTACCAACCAAACTGAACGATCAAAATCCAGTCCTTCATAGAATGCATTTTTATTTGAAATTCGGCTCAAATGATTGTCTAAAGCACCGATACAACGTCTGAAGAAATTGCTTAAATCGGACCACTACAACATAACACATAGCTGCCATAAAAAGTGATCGATCAAAATCCAATTTTTGTCCCGAAATTTGGCATGGATTATTTTCGAAGGCAACGGTACAAATAAACGACCTAAGCGCTGTTGTCAATAAAGCAGATTCAACTATGGTATATAGCTTTCCTGCTTCTCAAAGAACTCTGTTCAACATACCTAATTGATCCTCATCTTGGGGATCAGCCTTAGAACTTAACCTAACCTAGTCTATGTCCACTTAAGTCTAATAGTCGCACAATAACCGACTCCAGTTTTATAGTGTGCACTCTTTGCTCTTAAAATCACATCACACCTATGCGATGTGCTTTCTTAGTGGAGTTTTGTTTAGTGGGCTTTCTGCTTTATCACTATTACAAAACAATTGCAGTAGTTGATTATTGTTTATCAAAACTATAAAATACTTTTCAATTATGGTATCAAGTTATCAACAGAAGCACTAATAATATATTATAGATAGTTAATAAACAGTTTGGAAGATTCAGTGCACCGTTTGCTGTGCATAAATTGCTTTTAAATTTGTAACAAATATTGTTGAGTTATTTATTTTTATTTTTTTATTTATTTTTTTATTTGTTTTTTTTTTTGAGCCGTACTTTAAGTTATTCCCCTATTAAATGTTTACAAAGTTGGTTTGAGAAAATTACGAATTATAGTATATATTTATACATATATATGTAAAGCAATTTTCTATTAAATTTGAAAATTTTATAACCAAGTTACATATATATAAATGGACTATACATATTTGAAATGAATTACCAAAAACCAAAAAAAACAACCCAAGCCACAAACAGAAATTAGTTCATCCAAAATTTAATGAAACTTGAAGCAAATTAAACAAAGTAAACAAATTAAATTTAATGGCAATTGAAATTTTGTATTTACTTTTGATTTTCTCACTTTCTCTTTCTATTTTTATAGATCCATATGTGAAAATTGCAATCATGCAAAATGGAAAACGTTTGAAAAAGAAGAAGACAAGTATCAAAAAATGCACCCTCAACCCTTACTATAATGAGTCGTTCTCATTTGAAGTACCATTTGAACAAATACAAGTATGCGAGAATGTATTATACTATCCTACTACTAACTACTTAAAAACTACTACTATTACTACCACTACTACTAATACTACTACTACTACAACTACTACTGCTACTTCTACTACTAACTACTTGAAAACTACTACAATCACAACTGCTAAAACAAAATACCTACTAAAATTACTCTTATTACTACAACAACAAATACTACTACTACTATTAACCCCACTACTACCACCCAATCAACGTTATATTAAATGTTCTCCCCGCTCCCACTCACCTGCCTTGTACTTGCAAAGTTATCGATGTTTTTTGAAACAGAAAAAATATACCGCAAGAATATTATAAATCCCTACATAGCGAACTAATCCACTACATATTTTGAAAGTCTACATTCAATGTTTTGTACATACTAAGTACCGATTGAGTTTGAATAACCGTTATATACCACATATCTGCCACACTAAAGTATTCGTACAGACGCCAACAGCAAAACAAACAAACAAGTTACTACGTACCATTTAATTTAGACCAAGTACCACTCTTAAGTAATAATGATTATTTGTAATCGGTGTTCGCTCAATATTTTAACCAAGAAGGCTTCATTTTCGCAGTTTTTGATTTTTTCTATGGAAAAGTCGGCCGCTTAGTTACTATTATTATGATTTTTGTTGAAGAAAATTATTCAAAAATTTGTTGTTGTAAATACGCAAAGCAAACTGCTGCTACATTTTCACTCGGCAAGAGTACCGCTGTGTGTATACATATATGGTACATACATCACTGCTTTATTTTTGCTTTGACAGCGATATACACATGCGTGCGTACTTTGTTTTTGGCTTAACTGTTATTTAAAAAGTGGCAAATTTTTGTGTAGCTTACATAAATGTGTTAATGAATAAGTATTTGAGTTATTTAAGTTAAATTTTTTTATTATTTAACAAAAGCAAATATTAAAACAAAACTTTATTTTATTTTTAAATTATTTTTATATTAGAACCAAAAATTTAAGCAAATTAATTATTATAAAATTAAAACAAAAACAAAAAATTACATTGAACGGTGGTAGCACGTAGGACTGTGCACGATTAGTCCTTAACCAATTTCTACCTAGTTTAGGCTTTCGTAGCGAAATACTTAATTAACGGCTTTATACACAAACACATGTGTACATATGTACATAAGTATTACTAACAAAAGTATGGCGGCGTAGATTGCAAAGTGTGGTCTGCACGCGAATTCAATGCAAACTTTCAAAATACACCGAAGTACCTCATTCGTTAATCACGATGAGTAAAAGTCAGCTGACGGCAGCTGTGAGGAGCTCAAAAACCCGACAATTGTATATGTGCATGGAGAGAGACTCTGCATCTTTGTAATTTGGAGTTTCTGACTCAAGTTTTTTTTGTTGATTCACTAATCGAAAACGCTTTCGACTTGACACTCTCAACACTCAAACACAACTCAAACCAATATAATTAATCGTATGAATGCAGGTGATATCCACTGCGGGGGGTAAGGGATTCAGCGAAGGTACAAGCAAATATAATTATTCTCAAACACTTCAATAATTTAACTCCACTTGAACAAAATCTTTTGTTTCAGAAAATTGCTTTTCTTTGTTTGCCATGCGCAGTAAGAACTTTTTACTTCAAAATTGGTTACACTTCCGGTATCCCGGTTCATAACAGTATGCTATGAGCTGAACTACCTCAAACTGACAGTTTTAGGTAGCTTCCAGAGCTTCCTTTTACTCTTTTACTGTGTAACTTTTACAGTGAAAGTAAGTAAGATTGTCCAGCGGAATTTTATTGAAAGATGCATTAGTTAAAAAAAACATCTCTTTCAATAAAAAAAAGTTTACAATGATAACTTCTTGGGATTGTTGGAGTTGACAAGGAAAATAGTTTTCGAAACCGACCTCATCAAGTAGAATTCTCCAGTCCATAACTTAACATTGGAAGACCTCTTATCGCGGTTTCCTAAAACCTAAGTTATATAGTTTATATTGCAGTCAATTTAGTACGCGATACTGCGAAACCTAGGTCACGAGCGGTCTGAGGTCATCAATGCACCGATTGCGCTCTGACCCACAATGATTTCGCGTTGTGCCCACTGCACACCTGGTTCTTTTATCAGCTATTACTCTCAGCAACAGATTATGCCCACTGAGTGATCTCTAAAAGTCCATAGATTGCCCCATTGTACGTCCTTGCGCAGTGAAGCTTCTTCTTCCATTAGCTTATCTACTTTATCGTACAAAAAAGATTGCAGCTACCTTCTAAATAAAAAGATACCCGAGAAGAGTGTTTTAATAATTCAGTAATTTAGCTGCCTACCAAAATAGAGTATTGGATAGAAGTGTGCACTTCCTTACCTCAGAAAGTAAACTCAACAAGCTTTCGAAAGTTATTTAACCGATAGCGGTTCCATGAAAAAGCTTATTCCAAAAATCATCAGACGATGACGGTAGATTTGAAACTAGTAAGTTCTCAGATCGGTTGCCGATGGACATCAGGGGCTTGCCTCAAATGGGAAGATGGTCGACATAATATCTCTGGAAAAGTGTTAGGCGTTTTGTTTATATCTAATTCGAACAAAATTCAAATAGTTTTTTTTAAATTACAATACCCATTGATATACACCTTCCATATTAAGGACGTTTTCAAGAGACTCCTTCACTCTACATTCTGCTCGTATGGAAACTGTACACTGTACCATGTGTACTAATTTGGATCTCTTAACATCCTAAATTCCACATAACATCTTGATTCTGGTATGTTGGTGGTTGGTTCTAATGCAGTACATCACATCTAGCAAAGACAGCTCTTTCTGAACCTTCTTCTTCGTATGATCTTTCCTTACTTCGTCCCTGGAGTGAATATCACCACGATACATTTTATGTACTCACCACCATAAGGGGTGGGTACTTCTTACAACTCCTTCAACTCCTATTTATTTTCTAACTAACTAACACTTGGTAATACAAAGCTTCGCTACTGATCAGCTCCCAAGGAGTTGCAGCGTGAAATAGTCAATGTACATACATATAAATATTATATACTATACATATGTACATATGAATATTGTCGGCGTCAATAACGACGACCGCTATGGGTTCGTTGTTTTGACACTGTCTTCTGATTTGATACGATATTACAACAGCAATAACAAATCGCAAAACAACAACAACTACAACAAGCACTAGAACTACAACTACAAGAACACTGCACAACAAGAAAAACCAACAAAGAATATTAACAAATGCTAACGGCGCAAGTAGCTGAAAGGAGTAAACTAAAAGAAAACTAAAGAATAAAACAATAATAACAATTGAGAAGTGAAAAAAGAGAGGACTAAACTTACAAGTCGTCAAAACTTTTTTTTGTGGTCCAGTGATGAAAATTATTAGTTTTTTGAAATTAATTATAATTTTTGAAATACACTGGTTGATACTCACATGTACATACATATATTTTATTCAATTCTCTTGCAAATTACAAATTTACAATGTATGTAGTTAAAATAGTAGTAATGTTCCGAGCGTCAGCTAGACCCAAAAAGAATGTAGCCGAGTTGTTTCGAGTCAGTCATGCTGACCGCTCTCACGCCCCCTAACTGTGATACTCCATAGTCCCTGAACGATGGACTTTAAACCAATACCAAAACACACACAGCAAAAAAACAAACTTCGCAAAAATGGGATTGAATATTATACATTTTCGTTTACCAGTATTTAATGAACATTATTCTTTGGTGAAGACGTCAACCCAGACGCCGAGTAGCCATGTGTTCGTAAAGAAAATGTTCATTTAAATATCACCAAAAAATAATATAACTATTACAGCAATATCTCATATCCATTGACACTGTTTGACATAATCGCACCGTTATACTTATGTATGGGTGGCACTACGGCCATTCTAGTCGCTCTTACATACTTATTTACCACATACAAAGCTTATGTATGCTAACTTTGTGATAAGCTGATAAGCGATCAACAAGCACTGCCTCAAAACCACCAAAAATGCTGAATGTAACCACATAATCGTACATATTACATATCGAAATTAGAATATACATACATACTTACTGCAATTATAGTTTTAGATTAGACCAAATATCTAGTTAGGCTAGAAAATACCGTTACTGCTGATATTTCTTTTTTTTGCATGTGTTTAATAATACAATTCGCCGCTTAAGTGATCAATACTTGGCGTTTACTAGCCTAACAGTAAGCTATTTTACGTTAAAGCTTCCATTTTTGTAGCTTTTAAATCAGCTTGCTCAACTTTCAAATTACATACTTAGCTTATTAGCTTGTAAAACTCATGTTTTTATAATTGCATATATAGTAGCGAAATGAGCAAAATTTATGCTTTCTTTTATTAGGCCATTTGAAAATATATAAAAAGTGAAAAGCATTTCAATCCTAACCAAAGTATAAAGAAAGAGTCTCCATAGCATCCTTTTGCAAATGCTCAAAATGCTCTGCTTTACTACTTATAGAATCAAAGGTAAAGTTAGATTCTTTACAGTTTCACAAAGTTATTTAAATGATATGCTAAATGAAATGATCTCATATGAAGAGAGCTAAACGCTACCGTCCCCAAGTACTTTTTCAGTGATTTTAATTTAGAATACACTTTTTTTCTCTTGAAATTTCACAAAAGGCTTATCATTGACTTGACAAAGTATTTTCCAATAGTTTATTTAATGTTTGAATCCAATTATTATATCCCTAAATATTTTAAACAATAAAAAGTGATCAAAAGTATTAATTATTGAATTTACCGCCTACAATACTTCTAACCTCTAATAAAATTTGAAAAGAATAATTTCTATTTATAAGAAGTCAACTTAAATTAAGAAGTTTTTTTAGCCTAGGAAACAAAGATTGTCACAAAAGTGAAACTTTAAGAAGACTGAGTCTATGCTATTATCAAGTCAGTATAGAAAAAGAATACACACATTATATTTGGAAAACTTAACGATTTTTTAATTAGTATAATTGCAATTTTGCAATTTAGTCTTAGAACATTTCCCTGTTTTGCTCATATATAATACACTTGATATTATTATACATACAAAATTTGTTCTCGTCGTTATTGGTAATTGTAGTTAGAGTTTAATTACATTTAAGTATGCCTATATTGAGACAATCACCATCCAACTCCTTCAACCAACCCGCAAAATTGCACAAACCTAGCGTTACACTAGTTGTTCGTGGTGCACAACTCCCCCCACTTCTCTGCTCACTCAGATTATCATGCGAAAGATCCTATTTTAACAACTACAAACAAAAACTCTTCTTCTTCAACAAACTATAAAACAAAAACAAAGTCAAAAGAAAATTAAAATAAATAATTTTAATTAAAGTTTTTTTTATTAAGATAAATAAAATATTTATATTAAAAACAAAAGAACAAGAAACATAAAAAACTGTGACCGCAACAAATGCAGGAAATTTGCTATAAAATATTATACATATCTTACTAATCTATTTTATTCTCTACAAAAACTCAACCATTTTGCTGCCATTTTGCTGCCATTTTGATGTCATTATTTTACTGGATACTACCTCAGAAAATCTGTCTCGTCGTTACTGTTGTGGATTACGATCGTATCGGTACATCTGAGCCGATTGGACGCTGTATACTCGGCTGTATGGCTACCGGCACCGAATTGCGACATTGGTCCGATATGTTGGCCTCACCAAGACGGCCGATTGCCCAATGGCATACATTGAAGGATCCCGAGGAAACCGATGAAATACTGAAGAATATGAAGTAAAGTGACGGGCAGTTTATGTAGAAAGTACTAAGTAGAAGGTGTGAAGAATGTGAGACTTGAAGATCAAGGTAACAAGCTATATATAAATATACCGTGGTGCTTTCACTAACTACCATTAATACATAACTTGTAGGTCTGTATTTAAAAATGTATTTCTAACATTAAGATTGTTGATTAAACATTTTTAACAGTTGTTCATCAATACAATGAATCCATCTAGTAAACGCAAAATAAATCAACTAACATATTTACATGCTCACTATGTAATAGTTACCCTATCGTACCGTACCGAAAATGAATGCTAGAGATGATAGTCTAACACAACAAAAAATAAATTAATATGCCGTCAACAACAAGAAAAACAATAACAACAAAAACAAAATAAATCAAACACATAGACAACAAAGTACCGAACAACAACAAAAGGCAAACCGCTCATCATTAGTTCCACATAGAAAAAGTATAAATCTTTGAAGAAGAAACGTCTTATTCGCATAAAAAAATACATACATACATCCTATATATATATATATATTTATGTACAATACATAAACAAAAATAATTTAAATATTTGTTAGTCCTCGACTCCGACCTCGAAAACAACAATCAAACACACCGCGATAAAACAAACTAGAGAAATTTTGAAAAAATTATATGAAAAAAATGAATCGCATATTCGCTGTCAAATGCAGCTTTGGCCGCGGCGAGGCGAGTCAGTTATGAAAATAGAAAAATCACAAAAACTACTCTTAGACAAATATTTAAATAATTACGAAAATCACACGCATACATATATACAGAAATATGTATGTGTGTAGTTATGCATATGAAAAACCAAAACTCTGTAACTGTTGACTTCCTGTTAAAATGTTTATATAAAATCATATGCAATGAATTAAGATGCATTGTGTTGTACTCTACTATATTGCATCGTCTAGTATATATTGTGACCGTATTGTACTATATACATAATTCTATATACATATATACATATATATAGATATTGAGATGCCTCTATTGTATCTACATATGCTCTTTCCAAAATTGTTTGTTTTCTGCTTTCAGCTCGATTTTTTAGAAATTAGTTTTTCACACTATTATATTTGTTTCATAATTTGTACGTATTTAGTGTTGAAAGCGATGTTTCAAAGGTTTAAACTAAATTTAGCAAAAAATGCTAATTAAAAATTTAAGAAAGTAATGAAAATGAAACCTTTAAACCCAAACCAAAAAGAGTATTAATTCAAAGGTGCAAAAACTAAATAAAAAATTTTCAATTTCTAATACTGTTTGCAATTTTTGTCACTATTCCAATTGTAATGTAAATTGTATTTAAATTTTAATTAAATAATAAAGTTGTTGAAAACTTACGCCATAAGAAAATTATGAATTTTTCAATTCAAATCGATTAAAAATACTAAAACTAATATTTACGCAGCAAAAATAATAAAAAATAAACACCGTCGCATGGGATGCTATAATACTTTTCGTGTAATATAACACTCAAAAAACTCTCATTGTAGAATACAAAAAATAAAAACTTGCGTACATAAATGGGTTTTCTGCTAGCTAAATTCTTTTTAAGTAGAGTGGAAATTCTACTACTATTACACCAACACAAAAATAAAACACGTGTTTCACAGAGTTTTTGAACTGAATCTTTGAACATTATAGCAACTTTCTAATTTTAGCACACTTTTGCGACCTTCCTAACAATTGTGAGGTCTCCTTCATACTGACAAAAGCTTCGCAACATAACGCTTTGTATAAAATTAGAAAATCCAAAAGAAATCTGACAATATTTTTTACACATCTCATTTGTGCAGTTGTTTTAAACCAGTTTCAACTACAAACCAAACTGAGTAGTGTTTTTTTCTTACCTTCTTTGGCCAATACGTAAACTACTGAGATTTGGTTCCTAAAATAAAGCAATTCTTATCATTTTTACTTCCATTACAGTTATGAGTACTCACAAAAGTAGTAGAGTAGTCACACCCTCTTTAAAGAGGGTTATACTACAAATAATAATTTCCAAAATGTTACGCAGCATATTGCGTATAACAAATTTAAATTCAGTGCCCCAGAAATTCGTATAAATGGTAAAAATAATATTTTCCAGCTGAAAACCCATAATCATTATTTACTTATATTTTAATTTGTTTTTCATAAAACACACAAAAATAAAATAACATTTTTACCATTATCAAGTATCAATTTACTTTCAATTCATCAACACACTTACATATGTATGTGCGTGCATAGCATGATTGCATTTCGCATATGTTTGTATGCCTATGTGAGTGTAATCTTTACGGAGAGATTACTAATTACTAATAATTATTAGATTAAAAGAAATATTTAATAAATCATGGTTAAATAAATAAATTATAGAAAGTTTAACTTCACGCGTGATTGCAAAAAGCAAATATCATCGTTTCTTGGAAGCCACCAAAACAATAATTTAAATACATATATATTGAGAAGGCATAATATTAGTAATTACATTCTAATGCACATTAATATTTTTATGTATTGTATGTCACCACTTGAATTCCGTATATAACTTTTCCAATTTGTAATTACATAAAAAAATTATAAGTCGCTTATGAGTTAAGACATTGTTTGTAACTAATTTTACGTAAATTTTTTTTTTTAATATTTTATGAATATCTTAAAATGTATATAAATATTTTTTTTTACTGTATGTAGACCTTATTTTTAAATATACTTTATTTAATTTTCTATTTTTTGCTTTTGGTTGATTTGCTTTTAATTTATTAATTTCATTAATGACTTATCAATTTCACCTTTTCACCACACTGACTCGTTAATCGATACTTGAAAGATGTGCTTTTGTGGCATGCTGCTTTTATTTACTTATGTATAAATCGTTGGAGTTTATATTTAATATATATATACGCATATATATATATAAATTATATATTATATATTATATATTATATATATATATATATATATATGTATATACAAATAATAATAGATATTTAGAATTTGAAAACTCATATTTAATACTACAATTAAAATATTTAAAGACATATTAAGAACAATAATAGTTATTACTGCTAATTTATACTATATTAAGAATAAATGGTTAAGGCAGACAATTCAGCATGCAGAGAATTAAACAAGAAATATATGTTATTTCAATGGTAAGAAAGCAAAAAATAAAAACGAACATAACCAAACTTATTTTAAGTGACAAAAATAAATGCAACAAAAAATATCATTGTTATGAAAAAGGTACCACTATTGATTTTTAAACTTAATAGAACTTATTAATGAAGATATGTATATGTTTATGTCTTGTAAAAATATAGTTAAGGTCAACACACAAACTAGTACCGAAACTAAACATACTGTTACATTGCAACAAACACAAATAATGAAACACTAAAAAGCAGTTACACTGACATACATATAAAACGTCAATCTATTGTTATTGCAAATTTTAAGATAACTTTAATTTCGCATGGCAAAGTTCGAATATTTATAACGGCTGTACCCTTCTATACACCGTTTGTCGAATAGCATGGTAGGGATGATAATATGCGCGAAACAACTGTAGACGCTGTAAAAATAAAAAATAAATTGCTATGGAAAGTTTAACTAAATAAAATTAGATTACACATAGTTGCACTATACAAACATATATAATACATATTAAATAATAAAAATAAAAATTAGAGATAAATATATATACAAATATATATATAAACAATACCTATATACCAGAAAAACACTAATTAATAATAATAAAAGAATATTGTTAATTTTGATTACAATGAGGCATACATATTATTAACAATTACATACATAAATACGAGTATAATAAAAACTGCAAATGAAAATAAAAGATTTATTTGGTTTTATTTACATACATTAAGACATATAAATAACACCGACACATGAACAACACCACATTTTATATTTATTACAAAACGATATCAATCTCTGACATTTGTATGTATATTACTAAATTATCGAAATCGCTAGGTTGAACTTCCATCTCTACGAAAGAACTTAAGTACCTCTCTCTCACTCTCTCTTTTTGAAAGAACGAAAGAATCAAGTACCCGCGCAATGATTTGGGTACCATACCTATGAGTTAAACGATTAGCAGAGTTTAGAGCAAGAACTTCTACTTGCATACATAAGTAGTCATTTGTAAACCATTTAAAATTTATATATACATATATAAATATATATATATATAGACATATACACATTAAATATGTGTACACACTTACAACCATGAAACTGCTCATCTAGGCAAAAATAAACGAATGAAAAGTAATCAAACTAAATAAGTTAAAAATCTAATAAAAAATCTCAAACTAGTTTTCATTTTTAATAGCCGATACATTGGTACAGATCTGACAAGTTATTTTAAAGACAGCAGATTTGCTACAGCACTACCAATTCCCTCTCTTTCATAGAAACAGAATTTATTTTTCTAATAACCAACCGAAGCTACAGACTCAAATTCCCTGCTCAAAACAATTTTGTAATTTTTTATCTTTAATTTTCCATTAATTTTAATCTTAACAAATGTAGATGACTTCGTTGTAGACACTTTGAAAGCTTTAATGAGAGATCATAGTTATTGCAAAGAGAGGGACTGACGATAAACCGAGAAACTTTTGCCGCACCGCGCATTGAACCATTTGTCGAAAATTTGTATAAATCTATAGAATATCAATTTTATATTTTATATAAAATTCAAGATAAAAAAAATTCAAAATCACTGAAAGAATGCGAAAATATATCATAAGCAAATGCAGAAAGAATGAAAGAATTAATAAATAAAAACAAGAAAAACTTGATATAAAATATACTAGCAAATGGAAATGGCATACAAATAATCATCTATACATAATCATCAGCACCGCATAGTATGAATTAATCAGCTAAATACAATTGATATACATACAAATATACTGGCATAGATATGAAATACCATAGTTGTACACATACGTACCGGAATGCACAAAGTTTCAGTAGAATAAAAGTTTGAAGCAAAATATAAAAATAAGGTAATAAAATGATGTATGTAAAGGAGCAATGATAGGTGGGGGCTGAAAAAGTAGAGTATTGAACGTTTAAATATTCATACATAACTATTTTAGTGCGATTAAAAGGAAGATTCGGGAAACACTGGCACCGGCACTCTGAGTAAAAATTTTCTCAAAGTTTGTTTACTCTTATTTTTGTATTCAGCTAATATTTTATTTCCTGCGCGATGATACGCCAGAGCCTCCTTACATTATTACATAACAAATTTATCACCCACTCAGTACAAGAGTTTTTAAATTAGTTTGGAAACCCCTTTTTTATGTAAAAGATAAACGCCCAAAAATCGTGAATTATATTTGACCTCTTAGGCACAATATTTCAGAGAGCTTATCATCCACAAAACACACACAGCCTCATTTGCAAATTTTACATACCAATTCAATGTATAAATATTTATGTATATGATAAATTTAAGTGTAAACAATTTAATATTATTATTATAAAAATAATTATTATGACTTATAACGAAGTTGTTGATCACTGGCGTTGTAATGCGGCAGTGAGCAGGAATAATGTTTATTCAAGTTCAACGTAACTGTATTTAAAGAAAGAATTTTATTTAAATGCAATGACCTATGTGCAGATATTATTATGAATTTAAGTATTAAAAATGTATTGAAACAAAAGAAAAACTGAAGTGTAATAACACAAAAGAACAACATCTGTAGTTAAATAAATACAAAATTTATATAAGTTAAAATAAAAATGTTCAAAACTATAAAATATTAGTTGATGTTTTCTTTTTAATATTAAAAAAATTCATCAAGAACACCATTACATATAATATATGGTATATTTATATCTGTGTACTAATAGGTATCATTATTTCTCTAGTTTTATTTTTATAATTTGCTTTACCAAATGGGATGTAAATGTTTGACTATTTTTAAAAAGTGTTCGTGGCCGTCCTCTTAATAAGTTAAATGTACACGTATGTATGTGTCAAAAAATAGTAAGTTTGAATTGACCAAGCATGTACTGCCAGCATGTCCTGCTAGCTCTTTCTACACTGTGAAAATGAGCGAAATCAGCTGATAACCTTACCCACTCCCATAACGGTTATGTTGAAGATTGCTAAAAGTGCGATAAGGCTTCAAATAAATACTTCAGAAGCATTATATTTCACAGCCAAAAGGATGCTTAGTGAAATCCTATATCTCAGCTACTCGACCAATTTCAACCAAATTTAAACGTAACACTGTGTCAATGGGCGATCGGACGATTACTCTCCATATACATATCAGAATCAAATTTCATCTCAATTTTTATACTCTCGCAACATGTTGCTACAGAGTATAATAGTTTTGTTCACCTAACGGTTGTTTGTATCACCTAAAACTAATCGAGTTAGATATAGGGTTATGTATATATAAATGATCAGGATGAAGAGACGAGTTGAAATCCGGGTGACTGTCTGTCCGTCCGTGCAAGCTCTAACTTGAGTAAAAATTGAGATATCTTTATGAAACTTGGTACACATGTTTCCTGGTACAGTAAGACGGTTGGTATTGCAGATGGGCGTAATCGGACCACTGCCACGCCCACAAAACGCCATTAATCAAAAACAAATAAATTGTCATAACTAAGCTCCGCAATAAGATACAAGACTGTTATTTGGTACACGTGATCACATTAGAGAGGGGCATCTGCAGTTAAAATTGTTTTCTTTAAGTGGGCGTGGTCCCGCCCCTAATGGTTTAATGTGCATATTTCCTAAACTACTAAAGCTATAATAACAAAATTCACTGGAAGAAAATGTTTTTAGCACCTCTACCTACGGTGTGAAAATGGGTGAAATCGGGTGACAACCCCGCCCACTCCCCATGTTATGGTACTGTTAAAACTACTAAAAGCGCGATAAATCAAGCACTAAACACGCCAGAGACATTAAATTTTATCTCAGAGATGGTATGAGATCTTGGGATCTTTTTAACCGATTTCAACCAAATTTGGTACATAACATTCTTTTTATATTTCTATGCTATGGTGCGAAAATGGGCATATGGGAAATCGGATAACAACCACGCCTATTTTCCATATGACACCATTTTAAATTCCACTTGATTCTTTTACTTTCCACTATGCAAATCAAGCAACAATGATTATATCGGCGTAAAACTTTGCGTGAATAATACGTTTAAAGTATGCCACCTTGTGACCAAAAATTGTCTAAATCGAACCACAACTGTTCAAGCCCCTAGGTACTGAATATGTGGACCCCAGTACCTATAGTTGACTTTTTACCGTATATATCGGCCATTGTGTAAGATATATAATTGAAATTCATATAATAGAATAAATAAATGAAACTATCGATAATAGTATGTCTTTCTTTCAAAAATGGGTTGAATCGGATCAATAGTTCTTGTAGCCCTCATATATCTAATATAAATATTTTTGAACTTCCGCGTGACTTTATACCGCATATGTGAGTTATCTCAATGAAAATGAGAGAGCGTGTTTTACTGATAACAAGATCAAATCGGGTGAAAATTTTCCTTAACCCCCATGTAACTAATATCAGGATTTTCGAACATTCGTCTGACTTTACTCCATTTGATTGGTGATGGTATGTGAGGTACCTTAATGAAACAGTGGGAGCATTTTATTAGTCGGTGGCATGTTAGTAGGTATTGCAAAAAATTAATAAAATCGGGTTAATACTACCCTCAAATTCCATATACTACTTATAATGCTTTTCGTTATTCTAACCAATTTTATGCCGAATATGTCGGTCAGTGAGTATTAATATTTTTTTTATATATAAAATTGCTTCAAAATATGTCCTCGAGTATAGCTGAGCAATGTCAAAATTAATATATTTCTCTATCCGCAATATATATATGATTTCCGTCTTTCCACCTGACTTTACACCGTTCCGGTTGATCAACGTGATATTTTAACGAAATTAAGTGGAAAAGATTTCTTAAAAATTATGTGGTTTGACGCTGAAGTAGAATAAAATTAGTATATACTAAGTCTAAACCTCACACCTTCATATAATGAATTCCGATTCTCTGGTTGACGTTTGCCACCTAAGCTTATAATATAAAATTTAGCCACTTTGGTGGAGTTAATATCACATTCATACTTATGTATATCTCACTTCAAGCAATAAAACTGAGACTAAGTTTATGGCCTTTAATATAAGTCAAGAAGATACCAAATTTGATTGTAATTTAATCACGATATCATTTAATAATGGATGTTTAATTCAACATTTTTAAATATACGGTTTGGAGGAATTTTCTGGTCTTTGATTTTCCCAGCTCATATGTACTACTTATGGTATAATTTTTTTCGTCAATTGGATAATTTAATGAAATTAAATGGACAGTTTTTCTTAAAAATAATGTATATCGCTGCATATGAATGAAATTGGTCTAGACTTTGTTTTAACCCTATAACCCTAATATGCTGATTTCCGCTCCTCTGGTACAACAGCAACCTCATATACCCCACATTTAAATCTAATCCCTTTGGTTCAGTTTATATCACATATACCATGTTTGAGTTAAATAGCTTCTTTTTATAAAAGTTAACATTTCGGAGAAAAAAATAGTATTGACACAAAATAAATCTATGATCAATAATATAAGTTAATAAGATACCAAATAATAATCGAGTAAATAAAACTTTATAAAATATACCAGACAACAATGCTAAAAAAGTTTCTTAGAGTGCTGGACTTTGTAAAGAGCAAAAAAATCTTTCTAGAAAAAATTGCATGAAATAAATATTAGTAATGTAGTATCAAAAGGGCTAAAGACCCTTTTTATGTGGTTATAGATAAACTGCGACCCCATCGGTTTACATGCTACTGTCTATTATTTCAGTTTTGCGACACATTTTAATATGAAGGTCATGTGGTGAACTGTAAACTCAAGAAAATTACATTTTTACCTAGCGCCGTTGGCAACTTATGAAAGGTTTAGATATTAAGACAGAAAGAAGAAAATCTACATACATACCTGCTCTACATATGTGTATACCATACTTAATTATTTGTAAGTTATTGTTAATTTAGCCTTCATGGGTAGACCCTTCAAAATAGGTACCATAGATCCCCCTGTTTTAGAAAGCGTTTAACAAAAGTAATTTACGGAGGGGTTTTCCGAGAACTTAATTTCAATACAATGAAATAAACTACTAATTTCTAAAATATAAATATAACTAAATATTATGTATTATTATGTTAGTGAATAGCTAAGTAATATATAGGTATACAAAAGTACGTAAGCTGTACCAACATGTTGCAAGAGTATAATAAATATCAGTACACTGTGTTTGTAGTTTCAGTTTCACTAGATGTCTTTACCAGCAAAGTGCTTTATTCAAACTAATTTTAGTGTATTAGTTATATAGTGTTTAAAGTATTATTATATACAGTGACGAGCAAAACCGTATTATATAAGTGGCGAGCAAACACATATACATATGTGCACCAGTATATCATAGTACCTATACACGGAACAGGAAAGGAGTCATAGCAAGGACTTACAAGGAATTACAGTGAAAGAGAGCAGCACCTAGGATCCAACTTTTAACACCCGGACGGGCTGAATTATATAAGTATTATCTACAAGTATTTTATATATTAATCCATTTATTATTAATTAATTATGCCTAGATTAAGTAGAAAATCTATATTACTAAGTCGTCTTCAGAATAGAAGACGAATGAGAATTCTTCGTGCAAACTCTTTATATAGAGATAGTGAGCAGTCACAAAATACTGTAAGTCACGCTAATCGTAGATTAGATTCCGATGTACGTCTGTCCGAACAAATTATCAATACAAATCAACATAGAATCAGGCGAGAAAATCTCGAGGTACGGTCTTTTGAACAAAATTTAAATACTGTTCAACATAGAACATGGCGGCAAGATCCGCAAATTCGCTCTGAAGAGCAAATAAGAGATACTCGAGGTCATAGGTCTCGGCGTGAAGACCCCGAGGTTCGATCTGTTGAGCAAGTTGTAAATACTGTTCAACATAGAACAAGGCGGCAAGATCCGCAAATTCGCTCTGAAGAGCAAATAAGAGATACTCGAGGTCATAGGTCTCGGCGTGAAGACCCCGAGGTTCGATCTGTTGAGCAAGTTGTAAA